TTACTTGTCTAGATTTTTATTTACCTTTCCATATGGTATCCCCTTAGATTTTACAGTATTGTTTTTGTACAAGCAAAATCATTCACTAGTTCTGTCTCTAAAGTATATATATTTTTTAGGATTTCATGTGCAGCTCAGTACTTTTAACCGACATGCTGCTGTAATTCGGAGGCCATGTTATTTAAGAATTACAAGTTACAAAAGCCTTTTGTGAAAAGAACCTTTTTTTTTTTTTTTTTCCTTTTTTAAAATCTGGATAAGGACTGGGATGTGGATGGGAAGGGAGAAGTACGGACAGTGGCAGTGCTGAGGTTCCTGCTACCATGACATTGCATCCAGAGGAGTCAGCAGAAATCCACTATGGGTAGAGTCACGGAGGTAATGCGGAAAACTGTTTTATAAGTGGAAAACTGGAGGAAATAGATATTTAGGCTTGTTTTACAACTGGAAGACTGGAGGAAAAAGATATTTAGGCTTGACCATGACCATAAGGAACGTGATTTCCTTCCTGTGCTCAGTCCCCTGATCCTGCTGCCTGATACCATCTTGATCTGAGCTGTTTCTAAGCCTTGGGGTGGACAGCCGTGCCAAAGAAAAGCCTGGCAAGCAAAACTGGGAGCTTGTAATCCCATTTTGGAGAGCCTTTTGTCCGGGCTGGGGCTGGATTTGCTCTTCCCCCAGTACTGACTGTCTGGTGATGATCACTAAAATTTTCAGCACTCTCGAAGATGAGCCCTGGGACTTCGTCAGGAGATGATCGTCTGTAAGCCAGGCTCTGAAGCAGCATGATGAGTGTTTGTCTATGGCGCTTTCCATTTGGTAGGAAATGGGAATATGGGAATGGTGGCACAGAAACTAAAATTTGGTATTTGCCACTTCTACAGGTATTGCTGGCATGATGTACTGTGCTGGTTTTGGCTGAGATAGAGTTAAATTTCTTCATAGTAACTTGTATGGGGCTGTGTTTTGGATTTGTGATAGAAGTGTTGATAACACAGGATGTTTTAGCTATGGCTGAGCAGTGCTTACACAGCATCAAAGCCCTTTCTGCTTCTCACCCCACCCCACCAGCAAGTAGGCTGGGGGTGCACAAGAAGGTGGGAGGGGACACAGCTGGGACAGCTGACCCCAACTGACTAAAGGGATATTCCATACCATATGATGTCATGCTCAGCAATAAAACTGGGGGTGAGGGGTGTGGGTGAAGGTTGGCCGGGGCTGCTGTTGCTTGGGGACTGGCTGGGCATCAGTCAGTTGGTGGTGAGCAATTGTTTTCTTTTACATCACTTGTTTTTCTTGTGTGTTTGGGTTTTTTTTCCTCTTTGTTGGTTTTTTCCTCCTCTTAAAAAAATTATTAAACTGTCTTTATCTCAACCTATGAGTTTTTGCACTTTTTTACCCTTCTGATTGTCTCCCCCATGCTACTGGTTGGAGGGGGTGAGCAAGCAGCTGAGTGATGCTTAGCTGCCTACTGACATTTATCAATAGAAAAATCATTTATCTACTTTTTCAAGCACATAGAAAAAGGCTAGGAACATTACAACCTATCAAGCAAAGTAATTGAACGTGAGCTTAATTTTAAGTGCATTAATGATCTTTATAAAAGCATATTTGCAGTAAATTCCTTACTTTTTAAATTAAAAAAAAAAGGAAAAAAGAGAAGGGATAGAAAGAATCTGAAATTACTTTGAAGGACCTGCTCCCAAAATTGGTGATTAAAGAAGGATAAGCACAGCTCTTGTGGCTTCAAAGGTCAGTCCTACTGAATTTAAGTGACTGATGGATTCTCTTCACCAGAGGTGCAATTTTCCCCTGAAGAAATACGTCTTAAAGACCAATGCTGGCTAGCTGGTATTTATGAGAGAGTCCAAAGGGAATTACAAGTAGGTTGTTAGGGTTATCATTTACTCAGTGGTTTCTGTCGATATTGTAGCACAGAGATCCCACAGCACTTCTTCTTAGCATGTGATAAATTGTGTACCAGGTGAAGGTGAGAAAGGAGTGGGGGCAGCCACTGTGATGACAAACTGTTGCTTTGCTGCTTCTGCTATGAACCTGCTGTTTCTCTGCCAGCAATCACCAGCGCCTTAGCTGTGCCCAGCATTGCTCTCCTCGGCCCATGATAACAAGCCTGCGCATTTGGGCGCGCTTTAAGGAGGTGCTGGGTACGTGGCTACAAGTAGCGCAGTTTTTCTTCTGCATGCCAGCGTGGCAAGAACAGCACATTTTATGGCTACATTTGCAAAAGCCTTATTGTATAGAGGCTCTTCGTGCAACCCAAGCGATTTCCAGTAGCTGATACAGCATAAAGTATCAACTAGTGTGAGAAAGAGGTACCTCAGCCTGCTCCAGTGGGAAGGTCTGTTGTTTTGATCTCTCCCAGATCTGTGACTGGCAACAGGAGCCCATCAATACAGTTGTGGTGCTATATATATTGCATCTCCCTCTATTTAATTCCTCTATCTTTGTATTAAAAATAGATTATTTTCATTACAGAAAGCTACTCAGGTACATTGCCTATTTGATGTAGCTTCCTTAGGTATTCCTCTTACGGAAAAAATGGGGGGAAAAATGAGGGGGAAGAGAAAGTAGAAGTATGCAGTTTAATAACTTCTAAGTGGTTGTTTTGCTTTGTCGGTTTGCCACAAATGTACTTAAAAATAACTAAAGTCCACCCCTAAATCATACAAAAAATTACATCAGCTGGGTATAAAGTAAAATATCTGGTGGGATCTGAAATAAGTTTTATGTTGTTTTTTTGATTGATTGAAAAATCATGTACTTTGGTTTTGCTGTACTCTTTCAGGACTGCAAGCCAGTTTAATGTAATGATTCAGCTGTTATCCAGCTAAAGAAAATAGACTGATGAGGTTAAGTAAGGCCACAGTCAGTACCAGTTAATGCAGTGTTGAATGTGTTGCCTGATTGGTATTAAAAAGAAAAAAGGAAAAGCAATGTCTAGTACCTTCATTTAAAAAAACACCAAAGTTGTCCCCCACCCAAACGACAAACAAACAAACAAATTTCCCAGAAAACCCAAATAAAGGGAAGTTCATGAACTCTAAGAAAATCACTGTTAAGACACTAATGTTATTAATGTCTCCTCTGAACTCGTTGTTTTATATATCTTTGCCTTTGCTTTCCTAATTTGGTCAATGACATACTTTAAGATGAGACTTCAAGTGTTCCCATTGATGTTTGGATTCCCGGGACTATTGTGGCTTTGAAAGTCCTCATTGCTGCATCTTTGGCTCCTCTTCAATGAGCAGATGTTGACCAGGGAGGGAAATGTTGAATTTACATCTTTATCAGTTCTTTCTGCTGGCAGCTTCTTGTGATTCTACCTTGAAAAGAAGGGGAGCCTTTTCAAGCTTTTATTCTCCTTGCTTCATTCAGATTCCTGTTTGAGCCATAGCAAGGAAATTGCCATGCCATTGGATTCAAAATAAGTTACCTGCTGCGTTCAGTGGACATGCGATCAGATTAGAGCAGCAGCTGGAAAAGTGATGCAGCTTTTCCTTGGCCTGGAAACCCATCCTGGTTTTTGGAATTGGGACTCCGGGGTTGCTTTCTGAGACATATGATATCTAGATACATGACCTTAGCCTACCTGTATGATCTAGGTGCGGCTTTATTTTCAGCATCACAGAGTGCTATGGAGGAGAGGAGTTTTGGCATGATTTCTGTAACAGCCGTGGACTACGGTGCAAGGGCTGTTTGTTTTTAGAGCGGGAGTTGCCAGAATTGCAGCCCCCGGCATAGCTGCAGTGGCCTTGGCACCTCGGGGAGGGCACCGAAATCGAGGAGTGATGGCAAAGGTCAACAGACTCTCAGCGTCAGCAAAGCCTGGTCAAAAGCTCAGCCCTTCATTCATTACTGAGCAACCAAAGTGACAATGCAGCCTTTTACCACGGAGAATTTGTGGCCCCATCCACTGTCCATTGTATTGATTTCAATGAAACTTAAGCACATACTTAGAATTAAGCACTTCTTTGCCTGGTGCCCTCAGGAGAGAGAGTTTCCTCAACTGGGGCCAAACATGTACTTTGCACGGGGCATCTTCTGACCCAGAAGGTCAGTTAAAGCTTCTGAGGGACTCTGAAGGGATATTTTTAATTGTTCAAAGTCTTGTTTTGTTTTCAGTCCCTGCAAAATAATCTGAATGTGTGTTTGTATAAATGCGCAAGTGAAAAGCTGGCAAAGGAAGAAGCTTGCTATTCATTACGGTTCAGGTCCTGCGACTGTGGAATCAGACTGAGTTTTGCCATTTATTTCAGTCAGCACAGAGGCAAACCTGTCTAGCCATTTTGAATGAATGGGGGTTTTTTTCCACATAGAGACAAAAGTAGCTGGTATAAAATTGAGGCATTTTTGCTGATGTGATATATAACTTGTAAAATTATTGTACGTTTGCGTAATGATTATAATCTCAGGGTTGAGAAAAATTTCCATCCTTCTAATGGAAATCCCAGCACAGGGAGCGAGGCACAAGTGGGACCCACCTAAATGCCGGGTCACAGAAGCATTCCTGAGTCTGGCAGCTTTGGTACTATAATCTTCAGGTTAGGTGTATTCCATAGCAAACTCTGCATCATTTTTAGTAGTTACTGCCTGCAGGTAGGAATTATCCACTTCTGGGCTACTTCCACTCAAAACCACATCTTTGTTGGTGTTACTTCATCTGAGCTTAAACTATGTTTTTCTTGTTTATCTTTGTAGCTATTTTTTTAACATGATCTGATGCAGAATTGTTTTCAAAAAGATGAAGTGAAGGAACGGCACTATATTCTCCCTTTGCTCTTTGGCAAGGCAAGAGCAGGGTCTGCAGCAGGAAAAGACCTCCCATCCTGGCAGGTTTCTAGGCTGGTGCTCTGCAAGTCTGCGTGTTAAACCGAAGGGTATTAATGACTGTGTGCAGACTGAAAATTCAGATGCGCTCCCTCTTTCGTTGCAGGAGGAAGGGTTTTCTGCTGCAGGTCTGAGAAAAAGGGCAGGTTGGCATGGAGAAAGAGGTAAGTGAAGAAAAACCATGCTTTAAAACAGAAAAATTAAAGGGCCTATTCCTAGCGTTGCTATTTCATAATATTATTTGTAGTGTGATGGGAGGGAAGTCAGCAGACACGTAGGCTCCTCTATATCATTGACAAGTCAAGGGGATGATTAACGAGAGTACCAGACAATGTAATGGTAGGAGAAGGCCCACAGAAGTTAAACAAAAGTGCCTTCAGAATTTAGAGAATTCCCATGATCCATAGTAGGACCTCATTGTGCTTGTCTACTGTTTCTATTTTTGATTAGATTTATAAACACAGCACCACATATTTTCATGTGGCTCATAGCCCCAGGGCAGAGTGAGATTGACTGTGCTGAAACTGTGAGGCTTGTGAATTTCGGGCAAGGGATGGAGTGAAATAAGTAGTGTAATTGTTTTTGTGGAGTGACCGTGGGACCTCCTCTGTTCTGAATTACACATGGTTCAACCCTTTGACCTAACCAACCTCGGCAATGCCTGGTAGATCTCCTAAAGCTGTGCTGAAAGGTCCTATCAGTGACATGTTGGAACATTATCTGTCACGTGAGATGTGTGCCAACAACCATATTAAACTACATTAATTACTAGTGAGGCCGTGTTTGTGACAATCTCAACTTCATTTAACCCATCATCATGTTAGTTATTGTTTAAACAGGAAGTACAAATGGGGACAATTTATGAAATCAAAATGCAGTACCAATGTTTTCTTTAATAAATTGTATGTATTACTTTGTTTTATTTTCCTTCTTTTTTTTTCCGCCCCCCCGCATTTTTGTTCTTGTCATCAGCTCTGTAGCTTGGGTTTTTGAGGGCTTTTCTATTTTAAGAGCAAGCAAGAAAAAGACTACCTCTTAGTAACTAAACTAATATGCCAGTGTAATTGTTATTTCTTTAGATGATATCACAGTTGACCAAAAGCACCGATACTTTGTTTCCTAGCAAGAAGCAAATATGCTATAAGGTGGTTTACGTAAGGCTGAAAGATCACATGTGGATTATTCGCTTGAGCTACACCTTCACTGCTTTATACTCCAGCTAGTGCATCTCTGCATGGCAATGCTTGCACACCTCTGGATCAGGAGTGAAGCATGCATTTCTTTTTAATTCTGAGAGAACAAATTTCTCATAGGCCCGTCCCCGTCAGTAGCAAAGCATACTGTCAGTCCTCAAAAGGCAGACCAGGTCAATTCTGAAACAATTCTGAATTTTGTAGGGGGAAGAGGCAAAAGCTCTCCTCCGTGCTCCTGCATAGGCAGTGCACCGGTTCAGTCGTGCCTAGCTGTGCCCAGTATTATATTAGACTAGACACATGGGCTTACATCTTCCACCTACACACTGAGCTGTTCTTTTTCCACAAGGTTTTTCCTTTAGCCTCATCCTCCAGCTAGAACAGGCCTAAATGAAGTGGGTATTTATTTATTTATTTTTTAATTGCTGTGGAGTCAGCTAAAAAATATGTTTGACCCTACTAAGTGTCATTCTCATTAGCAATGAAGAGTTTGCTCTCTGCAAAGTCTAACACGAAGTGCTTAAAGCAGACAGGTGCAAATTACAAGCTGTTTCTCTCTGGCTGCCATCCCTTAAATAGGCAAAGTAATAGGCAGGAGAAGGGAAAAGGTTCCAGCTCCAGCTGCATAAAGGAAAGCCTTAACAGGGACTTAGCAGCTGGTTGCAAGAATTAAATGCTGTAAATACCAACTAACGCATTTGTATGTGCTTTCACAGAGGAATATGTTTTTAGTAAGGCTCTATCCCTTGTTATGCAAGAGGATCATTCTTTGAAAACTCTGCTCTGCTTTGTGTTGAAAGGCTAATGCTCTCGCTGAAGTGAATGAGAACAGAAGCCAACATACCTGTTCCTGTTTACCATCATTACGCTCCTTAGAGCATTTCAGGCATTATTAGGTTCTTGGAGCCCTACCAGATTGACAATATTTCCAGCTATTTCTCTTTTGGCTGTATTCAAACAAGTCCCCAAAGGAAAAAAAAATACCCAACCAACCCACAAACAAAACCACGGATGAATCTGCTGAGCTAGTTTGCTGATGTTAGAAACAGTTGTTCGTATTAGGAACACCTAATTTAATTTCATGAAAGAGACATAACATGCCAGTATGTGTATGAATCTAAGGTATGCATTTCCTAAAAGGAACTAAAACTCTGTCATTCCAAAGTTGCTCTTCTTTTTGACTTCCAGCTTGCATGGGGACTGCTGTCTGGAAGCAGTAACTTTAACTTTAACTCTAAGGCTGCTGATGAGGTCTGTCTGTGTGATCTTCGTAGGCAGATAAGGGTAGGGAGACAGCTCAGAGCAGAGCTTGTTTACAGCAGGACAGAAGAAAACAGCTAGACATAAATGAGGGCTGACGGTTTCATGAAGCACAATTGGTTGATCACAGATTCAATATGACTGCCCTGAACTGAGCGATGATCCGTACAGTATGCAAAATTCACTTTCTTGCTGGTCTGTGCCCACCAGCCTTCCAGCAGCTTTCCCAGAGCCCCTCAGCCACGGCTTTGAGTGGAACCAGAGCTGAACGCAGCATTGTTGTACCCAATTCCTTTTGACAACAATCACATTCTTTTAAAAACTTCGTAGGTTTTAGTTGTCACTGGTTATAAATGAGGGTTTTTTCCCTCGCCGTTGCTGCTGCTGCTGCTGTTGCGGCGCTCGCTGCTCTGCTGCAGACCCGAGTACAGCGGGTCCTGCTACTCCTGGTTTTCCTTTGTTTCAATTGGTATCAGAAAGCAGGCGGTGTGTTTTAATGAAGATGGCATGCAAAAAGGCATTTAAAGGTTTAGGTCACTTTTGAATGACATGGTGATTAGTCTGCGCTGTGCTCAGACGCTTATAACTCCCCTTGTCTTTGCCCTAATGCAGCACACTCAAGGTAAAAAGGCATTTTTTTAAAACAAAAGTTAAAAGGCAAGACTTGTTTTTCACCAACTCTGGTGGAGCTTTGAGATAGGACAAATTGCTATCAGCAGCAGCATCACCCTTTAAACATGACTTTGCAAGCAAAGGACATCCCCCTTCTATGTGCTGGTTGGGGATGGACAGGTCTGACGTGTATTGTTTGTGGATGCAATTTGGACCACCTCCGCCGCAGGTGTAAACCAGCGCAGCCTTTGTATCACTTGAGGCTCTGGCCTCAAGTTGTGTAACTTCACTTTTTTGTAGGAACGCTTTTTAATGTTTATTTTTGGATAATGTTCTGTAATTAGAATGGCGGCTTTCTGTACGGACATGCGTTCATGTGCATTCATCTAGGTATGCTCACAAAACTGGACTTTGCCTGCAAATATGGCAAGTGGTCACTGAAAGAGTTTTATTTAATTTGCTATTGGAAACCTAAGTTTTGCAGGTACATGTGAACTGATTAAAGAACCATTGCTTTATACATAAATTTGCATAAATACATAAATTAACTAGTAGTGGCTAATGATAAAATGAATATGAAATGCCACTGGATAATTTCCTGCCTATTCTCTGATGAGAAGGCAAGGTATCATAAAGGTAGGGGGACTGGGGAAGGAAGCCTAAAATGAAAGGGGGGTAATAGTGTAATTTACCCTACTTAAAGGTGCTCATGTGTAAAAGAGAGAAGGATGAGGAAATTGGCTGCAGATAGGTATGAAAGGAAAACATCTTCTAATTTCCTCTGAGGCACAAAGTGACAAGAACATGTGTTGATTACACAAAGGCCACCACCAAAATACTCAGTTATGTTGAGAAGTGACCCTGGAAGAATTCTTCTCTGCCGCTGAAAATCAGGCGTTTCTTTCATTCTAAAAATACAAACTCATGAAAAGCACCTTTTCAAAACTTGATCACATTAAGGGACAAGGGCATAATTTCTTTTGAAGTTCTTTGTAAGTAAGTAGGAGTTACAAGCCTGTACATCAACTCCTTAAAAATACTAATTTGTGTTTGAATGAAATGAGAAAGATTGTAGTCTGTTGTGTCCCTGAAAAAACAAAATCTGGTGCTAACTTTCTAACTATACCGAATACTTAAAAAACAAACAAACAAACCAAAACCAAAACAAACCACCGCCACCCCATCTCCCCCACTCCAAAACATCAAAACCCACTATGCATCTTTATTAGATACGGGGGAGGATGAATACTTTTTTTTTTCTTGCTGTGAAAGAAGCTTATGCGTTTTACAGGCTACAACAGTTGAAAAGTAAACTATGGCCAATATAGCCTTCAACTGGTTTTGCTAGGGAAATCTGACGTGCAGAAGGAATACCTAGAATGTAATGCAGATCATCTTAATTCCATCGAAGTTATGGATGTATACTGATTTATACCAGTTGAAAATTTGTCCCAGAACTTTTGTCTAGGTGTTGTTTTCTTCAGCTGTTAACATAAAGTTTAAGGTTTTGCGTGGTGATTATACGCAGCGTAATAAGAATAATTACCACACAGCAGTGTTACAAATACTGCCGGAATCTTTAAAACTGACTTGATTATTTTTTTTTGGAATGCAGCAATACTTTAATATTGCAAAAGTGATATAGTTCTAAAGATACTAAGTGAGCTAATATGTATTTTTGAAAGATTTTTTAGCTGAGAAAAAATCAGAAGCAGTAGGGTGAATTTCTGAGCCTATTGAACTCCTGTCAAAATTATCATTAACTTCAGTTGTGCTGCATGTGGTTTGTAGGAATTAATTCTGTTACAGTATTTATTTATTGAAGTTTCCAGAATGTGTCTAGTCATTTTAACAAATATTTGGTTTTTAGTAGGGTAGTAGTCTTAATTTAGAGGAAGTCCACTGTTGCCAGACTAACATATATGTGTGTGTGCATATAATATGTGTGTGTGTGTATATATATATATATGGAGATATTAATATCTATATTAATCTGTCAGTGCTATGGTTCAGTTATTTTTGACAGATTTATTGATTGTGTCTGCTGCAAGCGTTGTTTTCTTACTGGAAATTGACACCTACAATCAAACGGGAAAGATGGATGCTGTAAAAATTGCAATTTTTCAATGATTCTTGTAATTAATCCTTTTGTATTGGCAGTTTCCAGGAGCTGTGTTGCCAGGAGTGGTCTTTATCACCGGACAATTAAGCAACTGGCTTGAAAAAATAATGCTGTTTTCGGAAACTGCCATGTGACGTTCGAAAATAAATGGGTCTGAACTGTTTTCTTACTTTGGTTTTGGCTTTGATTAATACTCCCAGATGTGCTTTGTTTTAGGTGGTCTCTGCCTGCTTTGACTGTTAGTGTCTGTTATAGGGGTCTGTAGCCACGCACGAGCCCACGTGGGACTCTCTTGCTAGTGCCGCTCAAGGTATTCTACAAAGACGGTGATTAGCACTTGGGCCTTCCTGGTGATAGTAACGTGACCACATTTTTTTTGAGCCTTGCTTCCCCACGGGAATTAACGTGGAACTTGTCAGAGTTTAGGTCCTCCAAGATCTCCTGCTATTTGTTTTCGCTGTAACTGTTGTTGACTTCTCCCTAACATTAAATGAACTTTTCATCGTTGTAAGGGGTCCTGCTTCCCTTCTCCCCTGGACCGCGATCTCTGTTTTGTGACATCTCGTCGTAAATTGTTTTGGAGTTATTTTTATTTTATTGCCTCGTACGAAATGGTAGAGTTCATTCATTTTTAGCTGCTCTGTGATGAACAAATGCACTGGTTATGTAACAGGACCTAGAAAATAAGAGAACGGGGGATGTCAGGGAAGTCTGTCTATAAATACGCTGCATAAACAAACTTTTCTAAATGAAGTGCTGCAGTTCTGCAAGTGAAATAAAGCAGTTGTTGCTGAATGCATACTGTAAAGACAAGTCTTATAATGTTCTTCATTTGTTGAGGTTTCTTTGCATTAATTAAAATTGGGAAAAAACAGAGTATTTTAATGTGACCTTCATTTGGCATTTGTTTTAACTTTTCTTCTCCTATTTTATTTAATTCTTCCACTTCTGTTGTTCAATTAGTGTTTGACCCCTTTAGCAGAGATGTAAATTAAATGACATTTCAATGCCATCCCATATTTAAAATACTGTGTTAGTTGTGGATCATAAAGGATGATCTTCGTTCTTTAGCTAATTTATTCATTTAACAATTTCCCTCCAGAAGTTCCAGCAGAAGGCTCTGAAGCAAACTAAGCAGAAGAAATCCAAGTCGGCTGAATTTCTGATGGGTGAGCCTTGCTTGATGAGTTATTGCTCATAATTTGTGTAAGGATTAATTAACTAATTACAGACAAATGGCTGTGGGCGAAATTTTGCTCTTGCTTGTCAGGGTGCAATTTGTAATTATTTTAATCATTTATTCTTTTTTTTTTTTTTTTTTTTTAGAGTTAATTTTAACCTAATTCTGTTTTGGCGACATTTGAGGACGATACACTTGAGTCTTTCAGCAAAGGAATTACTAGAAGGAATTTTCTGCTTGTCATTGAAATACACTTTGCTATAATGTGCTCTTCTGACCTCCTTGTTTTCTGTAGTAAAAGAAGAGAGAGCGGCAACAGAAGGCATTGAAAATCCAGCTTTTAACATCAGCAGCACAGATCTTTCAGCATATCAGCCTTCAGAAGAGAAAGTTATTAGACATGACAAGCCAGATAGCACCCTTGCAGCTCACCAACAAAAACTCGGGCTGCAAGCCCATGCTGAACCAAGAGGTGAGACATCAAACCTGATTAGCCTCAAACGCAGCAACAGTGGTTGTGTTCCCCATCCAACCTGCACGCTCCGTGACCTGCGCCGGCCGTTCCCGTTCCGACCTGCCCAAACAGGCGCCCCTGCAAACCCCGGATGGGGAACCCAAAATACTGCCGAAAACACCGGTTGGCTAAATATTTAGAGACCTGGGCTCCGTCTCCATGCTCAAGCGACTCCCCGTAACGGGGGTGCAGGTGCGGCGGGGAGCGCAGGGGGCAGGCTCTCATGGCAGCGCTTCCCCGTAATTTGTGTCGGGTTGGGTCTTGGAGGCACCGCAGCTGGTCCAAGCGCACAGATGCTGCTCCCTCGCTGGCTCCCAAGCATTGAGTAGTTTTAAGCAGCTTACAGATCCATGATTGATTGTTGTCCTTAGGTCTCCCATATGCCTTCAGTCAATCAGCATCTTGCCTCTGCTTCTCGTATCGCTATTTTTTTCAGCCAGTGTTGCTCAGATACTTGGAGCAGAGTCCTGTTCGCTCGGCTTGTCCAGCAGGAGCGATCCTGGCTTTTAAGCTCAGCTTTGATGCAGCACCCAAAAGAGACACTGCCTCAGGAAACAATCTCTGTTTATTATTTAGGTTCCTTCAAACAGACTGTAAGGATCTTTACTAATGTCAGTTTTCTTTTTGCAGAGGTTTGATATCTTTTAACCTATTGTTTAATTACTCCATTTTGAATTATTATTACTGCTGAATGTTACGACAAATGGTTATTTTTACTTAGTAATCCAGTGAGGAAGAAGGTGAAGAAAAGAATTTAAAGGCATCTTGTGAGCTATACGAGGAAAATCTTGGGCCAAGGTTTAATGTAAAAGCAAAAATGCCTGAAGTCAGACTCAAAATCTTCCCTAAATACCCATAAAAAAATTTGCCTTATTTGACTGTGTGGTCTCATTAACTTCAGGTGGACTGTGTGCATCCATGAATATGTAAATGTGCATCCAAGGTCCGAGACCTCCCAAGGTACCAAAGGAACGGGTATGACTTTGAAAAGTCCTTATCACCCAGCATTGCCCGTTAACTTGCAAACGGGGATGCTGCTTGCTAAGTACCCTTGCGTGCCAGCCCAGGTGTTTAAATGGGTAAGTGCAGGCTGGTGAGCAGAACTTCAGGCATTCGCTTTTAAAACTCTGGACCTTGTTGTGTTAAGATTTTATCCTTATGGGACTGGAGAGCCCACAGCTCCTAATGGCCCCTTGCAAAATTAGGTTTGGCTTTCCATTTAGCCTTCATGTGACTCTGTGTAGCGCCGCACGGAGCAGGAATTCTTCGTCTTTCCTTTGCAGCCTGTCAGAACAGTGATTAAGCAGACAAAGGGATTGATTGTTTTTTAATGAAATAGTCTATCTGGCAAAAAATGAAGTCAGGCTCGCTGGAGACTATCCATGCTTTCAGTCGCCTCTTCAGAAATTCATGAATAGTTCCCTCAAGAAAACAACACATTTTTTTAAAAGCCTGAAATGTGTTTTTAAACATTTTGATTTTTCATCCTAAGTAGCATTTTGTTCAAAAAACCCTAACTGAATATAATCTTTGTGAAAGGAGTAGAAATTGTTATATTTTGCCCGGAATGCAATGCCTTGATACACTGCTAAGTGTTTCTGTAATGGGAGAGGAAAGCTTGCTGAGAGTTGGAAAATTTTGTTTCCCAACACCGTGTCTCCCTCCTTGACCTTCTGTTCATCCAGTTAACCAAAAGATCAGTTGTTCACGTAGCTCTGCCTCTAAGTCACGCAGCTATTAAAAAAAATAATCACCCATTTATACCATCATAAAAAAGTCTAGATTGGAAGAGACCTCTAGAGATCATCTGGTCCAACCTTGCATTAAATTATTCTTAGTCTAACTTATGTCAGGACTTGTTTGGCAGTCACAGGGGTCAGTTCAAATTTATCAAGGGCTGCTAATAAAACAACAGCTTCAAGCCTGTCCAGAAACTTGGGAAAAAATTGAACTAAACCTTCTGGTACCTCACAAGCTAATTTTCCCCATTCCCAAGTGTAATAATACTTCATTAAAGACGGAAAGGGAAAAGCCAACTGCATAGGTAAGCACAGTATCACATGAATGTAGTAATGTATAAATGGTCGTATTTCACAGTCCTCAGTGAAGACTAGGTCTACAGGTAGCTTACCCTTTCTTGTGGCAATCTGTTGTGGTTTGGGACTGCCAGACCCCACGGGTCGGTTCCTCGAGCCTGCCTTCCTTTGCTTTGCTCCACGTTCATAGCCGCTTTGCATAGCTGCTGTCATTTCAGCTCATAGCAAAAACACACGTGGTGTTGAAAACTACCACCATCCCATAGCATCGGGGAAACTCTTCCACAGCTTCCTCTCCTGCTCCTCAGCTCTCGGAAGCCAGGGTGCAGTTCACAAGAGAGATTTTAGCACAGAAATCTCCTTCCTTTTCCCTAGGAGGCAAGACTTGCACCCCCACTGGAAGCTATTTCTCTAGGAAGGGGTGCCTACACTCACAGGTATGACTTGTTGCCCCAAACTTTGCTATGCCAGTAAAATGACAGTCCTTTTGCTACTTCATACCAGGCTTCCTTACCTTAAGGGAAACACCTGTCAAGCACAACAGCACGGCCTGTGTAAAATAAACATGTTTTAGGTCCCTCTGCTGCTCCCTTTCACTTTTCTCCCCTTTCCTTCTCCAGATGCTAATAAAATACTCCTCCTTTTGGGGTTTCCTCCCCTCCACAACTGTTGGGTGCTCTTCCAGCTCTCAGCCCCCAGGCTTAGCTTCGGTTACTTACTCAATGGGGAACGGTGTTTGTCAATTCTAACGGTTGGTGTTAAACTGTACAATTTAAAAGCAGTTATAACCTTAAACACAATTATTTAATCGCAGCATTTAGCAGATTACAGGTTGAAAACACTATATAAGCATCAGGCTGGATTTTCAGGCTATGCACTTGAAGGCAGGGCATGGAGATGGCATTGCCTTTGCATTATCTTTCCACCCATCGCCCATGTTGTTAATGGCAGCAAGTAATAGCTACAGGGGTTACTATCATTTCCTCCATCTTGCAACAGCGTCACAGCCTGTTCCTCTGTCAGCAATTGCTGGAGGGAAGTGTTCTCTAGAAAAACCTCCACCTACTTCTGAGATGCCTTCTCACACACGTCCATGCTAAGGATACTGGGAGGGAGTTTGAATATTCAGCTGCGTGTTCAAGACAGCCTTAAAACCTGTTCCTGGAATTTGGCTATGTCTGCACAGGAGGCTGCTCAGCAGAACACACATCACTGGGGGATTAAATAGCCAGTGCAGAGGTCCATGATATTGTACCTTGCCTGCATGTGCCCCCAAACAGCTTAATGCACAGATATGTTTGTGCTGTACTGACTTTTATATTCCCTTTCCTCAGATAACAGATCTCTGGAAAAGGACAGTCTGTGAACAGATTCTTGTTTTCAAGAAACTTAGGAAATATTTCCAGTGGCTTTTTTGAGTGTCTTTTTCACTTTTCAAACCAGATTGGTGGGGACTATTCTTGTGACTCGAAGTGCAAGGCTCCTGCATGCTTCGCTTGTGGGGAAGAGGATGAGGCAGAGCATGAGGCCTTATCTGCAGTCATCCTGCAGGCCTGTGATGGAAATAGAAATAAAACCTCTGATCCCTAGTCCATTGCTCTGTTTGTTAGGCCATTCTGTCTCTCACACTGTTGTATTTCCCATGATGGACAAAATTCCAAATTTTATCTTCCTCATCAGTAGACAGTTGTTCAGGAATAGGCCGTTGAGTAACTCTTTCTGCTGTATCCCATCATTGCTCTTGTATGGTGAAGATCTGGTACTGCTGTTAAATGTTTTAGTGACCCAGGGGAACAGGCTGACTACTCAGATTAATCTCCTGATTTTCAGCCAGGTAATTGGTTGCAGCGGCTTTTACCCTATTTTCTCTTCTTGGTTCTGTGCCAACTCTTTGCTGATCACTCCTATCACCTTCATTTCTTTCACATATTGCTTGTGAAATTAAGGTTGTCTAGCAGTGGCCTCATCTTTGCCAAACTGTGCAATTAATTTGTTTCTGAAAATACTCAGTTTCCTTGTGACTAAATCCGACCAACTCTTCTGCTTTTTCTCTCCTCAGCAAATACTGAATTTGCCAGAAATTTTCATGTTGGCCATCCCCATGAGAGGTCTAATAGACAAATTTCCCTGGGAAAAATATTTGGGGTTAGATCACCCAAACCTGGAGTGACAGGAACATATGTCCACCCGTTTCTCAATTGCTAGGTGCCTGATCTCAAGGTGAGCCAATATCTGCTTTTCTCTTTTCTCCACAGGGGTTTAAACCCAAAACACTTTGCGGAGTGCCCTAATGTTCAGGCTGGCTTGGTAAAGTCTCTGCCCAGCAAAGGGCGCCCAGCAAACTGTCGCGATGGAAGCACCAAACCTCCAGGAATACACCGTCTTTGGCTGAGGGCAGGATATGAGGGCAGTCGCTCAACCTCAAATGGATGATGTATGTCACAAGCAATCCCTTAACACAGGACTACTGTACTTAGCATTTTATCATAGGCCTGTAAAGCAAATGTTAATCTATTTTAGCATTTGATACATTTTGTCCTCAGCTGCTGTGATCAGAAAATGTGCAAGTGGTTTATACCAGTTTGTACTGTTCAGTGTCCGCCACAGCCACAGAGCTACACAGATTTGGTCCGACTAATCCTGAGAAGAGTCCTGCGGGATGGCACTGTTCGCATTTCTACAAGATAGGTAAAATTTCCAGACCAAGCATACAGAGGGAATATATGCCAGAAGAAATTAGACTGTGATCTTTCTGGGGTGCTGACCGCGCGTGTGAGCCACAGCATCCAGGTACGGGGCTTTTTGAGCATCCTCCCTGCCTTGCACCTGCATAGACATCTTTGGAGACTGGGATACTTTGGCTTTTGTGTGGAAGATGAAAGAAAGGCTAATTGTGTTCTCCTGTATCCCGCACACTCGTAC